GCGCCGCGTCATGAAAAACTCCGCCTATCGATTCATTTTTACCGCTCTTGTTTCCCCTCTCTTCCCCTCTCTCTCTATTTCCCCTCTCTGTTCTGTCTGTCTGTCTCTCTCTGTCTCTCTTTGCCGTTCTCCTGTCTTCCCGAGGAGTCTCGGGATCTTCTACCTACGTACGGGCCGTGCGTCTCGATTTCCAGCGGTTATTCGGTCTGGAAAATCGGAAATGGAAAATATCGTAGAGATCGTTTGGAGATGGAAGATAACGAGGGTGAATCATCTAAGCGCCGGATACTCTTCCGGGATAATACGCTTCCGAGTGACTTTCTATTCCCCAAATTGGCCTTCGTTTAGCCTCTAATTGCTACTAATAGTCCCAACGATAATCCGACCTTGTAATTTGTCCACGCTGCCCTGTCCATTCTCCATTTCCCATAGAGTAGCTCGTCCAGCACCGCTTAGCTATTCGTCCCGCGTACTCCTTCATCCGGAATAATAAATCGGCGTCGATATCTTTGCTCCAGGAAGACTCACGTAGCCACCTGATCTATGGCCATTCTCCTAACTTTATCCGCTGGCGAGCCGAATAAAAATCGGCTGGAAGGCGCGCTCCGGCCATCGATTCCAAGTAGCTGCGAGTTATAACGCGAGCGGACCACGATATTCGCTAGTTACAACTCACCGAATTCGAAAATTTTGAAATAGGTCGATGTACCGAGAAGTGTATCGTCCAAAAGACTCTGTAATCTCGGCTCGATCTTAGTCTCCCAAGTACCTACGCGCAAAAACGCCCAAGTGGGCATCTGCCTATTTAGATTCTGTCGTTCGGGTTGCTACTTTACGGACGAACGTACTTTTCAAGGTACCGTGTAGAGTATGGGGTGGTTGTTGGTGAAGCTGCCCACAAAAAACACTCTTGATATTTAACAGAAATGGCTTATTAAACTATTAGCAATCAACGATCAACAATTAATGATTAACAATTAGCAATGAACGATTAGCTATCAACAACGATTAACGATCAACGTGAGGCAGTCGTTGGTGAAGGTGCCCACAAGGAACACTCTTGATGTTCAATAAAAATGTTTATTAAATTACTGGCAATCAACAATCAACAATCAACGATCAACGATCAACAATCAACAATCAACGATCAACAATCAACGATCAACGATCAACGATCAACGATCAACGATCAACGATCAACGATCAACGATCAACAATCAACGATCAACGATCAATAATCAACAATCAACAATCAACAATCAACAATCAACAACTTATGGTCAACAATTAACGATTAACGATTAGCTATCAACAACAATTAATAATTAACGATTAGCTATTAACACCAATTAACTATCAAGGTGAGGCAGTCGTTGGTGCAGGTGCCTACAAGAAACACTCTTGTTGTTCGACAAAAAAGGCTTATTGAACTATTAGCAATCAACAGTCAACAATTTACGGTTAACAATTAATAAATAACAATTAGTTATCAACAATAATTGACGATCAAGGTGAGGCAGTCGTTGGCGGAGGTGCCCACAAGAAACACTCTTGATGTTCGACAAAAAAGGTTTATTAAACTATTAGCAATCAACAATCAATAATTTACGATCAACAATTAACGATTAACGATTAGCTATCAACATCAATTAATAATTAACTTTTAGCTATCAACACCAATTAACGATCAACGTGAGGCAGTCGTTGGCGAAGGTGCCCACAAGAAACACTCTTGTTGTTCTACAAAAAAGTTTATTAAACTATCAACAACCCACAATCAACAATTTATGATCAACAATTAACGATTAACGATTAGCTATCAACAACAAATAACGATTAACGATTAACAACAATCAACGATTAAAGATTAACAATCAAGAGTTAATAACCACATCTC